TTCGGTTTTTTAAAAGTACTATGGCACGCCTCCCGGAGTTGATGTCCACGCGCGTCTCAAGCCCGCCGAGATTGAAGAAAGAAAAGGCGGCGTTAAGAAACGCAAGAAGGCCCACGTGACTTGCTCTTTTCCCGCTTAGATCAGGGGTCTCCAACCTTGGCAACATTTAAGACTCGTGGACTTCAACTCCCAGAATTCCTCGGCTGAGGAATTCTGGGAGTTAAAGTCCACAAATCTTAAAAGTTGCCAAGGTTGGAGACCCCTGATCTAAGCGGGAAAAGAGCAAGTCACGTGGGCCTTCTTGCGTTTCTTAACGCCGCCTTTTCTTTCTTCAATCTCGGCGGGTTTAAGTCGCGCGTGGACATCAACTCCGGGAGTCGTTCCATAGTACTTTTAAAAAACTTAAGGAACTTTAGAATAACTCTATTGTCACCTGGAATGCACATTAAATCGGCGTATATTAAAATGAAATTTCGTTGCATGAAGCTCTCGGAAGGGTCACCACTTCCAATGTACACTACATGGACACGAATAAAGAAATAAATAAATAAATGCTTATGCACACACCCACATATAAGACACAGAAACAATCTGAATCGCTGGGGAGAGACTTAAAATGCTTGAACCGAGAGAGGAGTGTCTCTCCATTTGATTGGATTAAAGGCAGCGGAATGATTATATGATCCTAGCATAATTGTGTCCTTGTACTGGTCTATTTCTTATCGATTCCCTTCCCAAAAGGCCTAAAAATCCTTCCTATGAGAAAAGTTTTGAATTGAGAAAAATGTGATCGAATGAGACTTTGAAAGTTGAGACTTTGACACCAGAGGGAACAGAAAAAAACTAAAAAATATAATTAAAGCAGAAATTCAGTGCAGAAGAAATCCTTTTCCTCTGTTACTACCCTGATTCTGGATTGTTTTTCAAGTTTATTCATGTCCTTTATGTATCTCCTAGCAAGTTAAGCCTCTCCTGGAGTTGCAGGGCTGGGCGACACTCGTTTGCTGCATTCTGAGCGGAGCAAATGAATGATCGGACTCCAGGGCTTATGCTGTTAAAATATCTGTTTGAACGCATCTTTCGCCCATGGTCTAGGTAATATTGTTATCACTGTAATGAAACACTTTTTGAAAAAGAACATTTTACGAACGAAAGCAAATGGACGTGTCCTAGGATCTAGCAAAGAACATTTTGCATATTGCATTGATTATGTGCCATAGCAACGTTATGACCCTGACTTCTTCCCGTCCGGCCCGAAACGGGGGTTTTATTAAAAGGAGCCCGGAAGCGCCAGGTCCGTAAGTTATAAATTAGTACTCTTCTCTTTTTTCTACCTCTCTCTACGTGATAAACATAGAGATGTAAAAAATAGAGCGGCCATACAACCTTACGAAAAGAAATCCCTAAGAGCCCAAGAGAGTCGCCGGTGATTGTAATTGCCCGTATTTTTATTTTTTTTGAACCGTTCATCAGACTCCTTCGATGGCACTAGTCAACGATCATCATGGCGCTCAGCGCCACTCTATCCCTCGATCTCTATGACCAAATGCCAATCAGACCAATCGCTCTTTCAGAAAGAGAGGAAATAAAGTCGCTCGTGCTTTTGGGGAAAACCGGAAGAGGGCTTTTCCGGAGTCGGCGCCTGTGCGCGAGGATTTCCCCTCCCACCGGGTCATTTTCCTCGGCGTGAGGATTTTGGAAGTGTGGTCATGGAGGCGTCTGCTCGCTCTCCTTCTCCCCATGTCATCTGCGAGGGAGACTGGGCTGTTCTCAAGCGGGGCGACGTATTTAAAGCGGTCGCCGTGGTGAAGCGAAGGTAAGCCTCTCCTCCTCCTCTTCTGCAGCAGCAGCAGCAGCCTTTAATTGGATTGTGAGCCAATCCAATTAAAATTGTATATAAGCCTAGTAAAATAAATGTTATTGTGATTTTAATTTACTTGCTTCTCTTGCTCGATGGTTTTAAAGTATTTCTGCTTACTTGCACGTGAAACTGGAGTTGATTTTATTCCTTTTTCAGGTTTTGGGTTGTGAATATTGCAGGATTCTATGTTTCTAATTGATTTATCAATGCTTTTGTTTTTAGAAAAATTGTTTTTGAAAAACAGTGGTTCTGCTTAGATAATGCCATTGGGCATGCTTACGGAACATCATTTGAAGTGACTAGTGGTGGTAGCCTTCAGCCAAAGCGGACGTTAGAAGAGATGAATCCAGGTATGAATCAGCTAGAAATTATTTAGATAGCAAAAGTATGGAATGTGGTATGCTTTGATATTATAATCCTGATACTTTTTTGTAGTTCTGATACTTTTCCTAAACAAAGTACAATAAGGGGTTGAGGACAAGAGAAGTATATTAGTTACAACTTTCAGTCTATGCTTTATATGTGATAAAACCATAGACTTACCTTGTAGTAAGATGGGGTGCCAATAAATCAGATGGATGGATGGATTGATAACTGCCAGTCTTTATGGCAAGATAGAAATTTTTTATCAACATATATTCAAGAAATATGTTCTTACATTGGTGGCATGAAACTGATAAGAATCTTTGCCTATATCAGTGGTTCTCAAACTTTTCTTCACCATGGACCTCCTTTAAATAACTTTGGCCACAGATCCTCAAGATTTAAAGATTTAAATTTAAAGGTTGTGTGCAGGAACATTCATCTTTGGTGAAAATGTGATGAGAAATGTTGAAAGGAAGTTTTGTGACATGTATATAACTAAATAGAAATGATTCTATCTTTGGTTGTTTTTTTTTTAAAGAAACAAAAGAAGCTGGTACAGATAATCGTAATATAATAGATGATGGAAAATCTCAAAAACTGACTCATGATGATATAAAGGCTTTGAAGGATAAAGGCATTAAAGGAGAGGTAATCTTGAATTCTCAGTTAAATATTATTGTTTCACGTCACAAATAAGTACTTTCTGTTTAGAAAGCTATATTGCTAGGAACAATTATAGTTAGAATCCTTTGCTGTTGAAGAATGTGAACAAGTGTCATATAGTGACTGAAATTTTAGACTTAAACTGAGGAAACACATTTGAGTCCCTACTCAAGCAAAAAATAATAATAATCACTGGATGACTTTGGACCAGTTGCAATGGTGGGTTGCAGGTGGAATGACCCGGTATGGCCATACCGGAGCCTGCCCAGAGCACCGGGTACCCGCCTGCACTCCTTACCTGTTCTTTAAAGCCTGCTGTGCTTCCGCGCATGTGCATGGCATGTACAGTGCCTGCGCAACGCTCCGCCAAGCAGCTGGAGCATCGCAGAGGCATCACTGGAAGGTAAGATGCATGCGCGCACACCACACAGGTTCATGTGGAGGACGCTGGGCCCCATTGCAACCGTACCAGTTGCAACGGGATCCGGAACCCACCACTGACCAGTTGATATATTTCAGCCCAGTTGGGCATCAGAGTACTATCACAATAAAACTAGGCTAGAATCTCATTTAAGCTACCTTTTGTTCCAAAGAAAAAGCAGGATATCAATTTATTATTAGGTTTATTATAAATCTAATAAGAAAAGGGCAGTTGCCTCTCTATGCTAAATACAAGCCACTCTTCTAAAAGTCTTGAAGGATTGAATCTTGAACTACTTCATGTAAAATATGAACTTTACAACTCAACTATATTTCTGTCCTCTGGTTCTTGATTGGATGGTATCTATCATGATCATAATGAATGGAATGCAACATACATTTTATGTACATTCAAGTCACTGGTACTGCTTTTCATGTGTAATTCTTTGGATTGTTTATGGCTAAATGTTGGCCTCACATTTGGTAGATGCAAGACTACATTGAGAATAAATATATTTCCTACACTGTGTATGTGCACACAGACACACACACACACCTTCAAGTCAGTGTTAACTCTGGCAACTGCCTAGACAAGTCCCTGCAGTTTTCCTGGTATATTTTCCCCTCAGAAGTGGTTTGCCATTGCCTCCTTCTGAGAGTTTAACTGGCCCAAAATCAAACAGATGGCTTTGTGCCTTAGGCTGGAATAGAACTCACAGTCTCCTGTTTCTGTCTTGGTACTTTAACTACTACAGCAAATTGGCTCTCCTACTTTTTTATTTCTTTTTAAATTTTTACTTGGATGCTCCTCAGTCACAGTTTATATACTGGGGACTTTTGTGTTTTGTTTTGGTTGAAATGGTTTATAAATAGCTATGAGGAGAGAATGATTAACCTATCTTTTTTTGAAGGAAATAGTTCAACAGTTAATAGAGAACAGCACCACGTTTAGAGACAAAACAGAATTTGCTCAAGATAAATACATCAAAAAAAAGAAAAAGAAGTAAGTTGAATTTTAGAAAACAGAATTTTCAGTGAATCACAAATCCTAAATAGTTTTAACACTATTTGTGCTGCTTTGCTTGCAGATATGAGGCAGTTATTACGATCATAAAGCCATCTACTCGTATATTATCAACAATGTACTATGCAAGAGAGCCAGGAAAGATCAAGTAAGGCTTAATGTATTTCAGTTACATGGGGTATCTGTTGAACTAAATCTAGCAGTAAATGTGTGGATAAATGTCCTCCCACCTATGGTTATAGATGGATACAAATGATGCATGAAATATGGTTAAAGATAGTTTGTAATCATCTGTGGGAGTGTGGATTTAAAAAAATAATAGATTCTGATGATGTCTACTAAATGGACTAGAATAGTCTTATCTGCATGAATTTAGATTTTTTTTTCTCAAAGCTCTCCTTTTAGCAGGCAAAGGCAAAAAAATAAGCTGCAGATTTCTTCTGACACCTTTTTCTCATCAGTACTACATAAACTATGATGGAACTGAGCAAACAATGTTAAAGCATTTTTCAGCTTCCATCCGCAACACTAGCCAGGCCTTTGGTGAGGGAGAATGAGACCCCTTGCTTCATTCCATCTGGAATGAACAGACCATCTTTTATTGATTATATTGTAATTTCTGATGGCAAGCTGCCCAGAGTCATTGGGAGCTGGGCAAAATACATGTTTAATAAATATTGTTTCTTTACAGTCAGAATTTATATTTGTCCAAAACATAAATTAGAACTAGAAATCCGGTATTTCTAATAAAATTTGTTGTACTTTTAAGTATTTTAACTCACGGCAAAAGTAATCTATTTTTTTCCCCAAAATGTCCTAGCCATTTGCGGTATGATACTCTAGCCCAGATGTTAACTTGGGGAAATGTTCATGCTGGCAACAAGATGATAGTAATGGAAACCTGTGCAGGACTGGTGCTGGGAGCTGTAATGGAACGAATGGGAGGTGAGAAGAACAGAATATAATGTTTACAGCTGGGAGTGTGAACATTTAATAGTAATATTTCTATGGGTAGCATGTGCATTTGACTTTAAATCTACATTTTTTCTTTCTTTCAGTTAAGCCGGTAGGGAGCTTTCTAAGCAAAGCATTGATTACAAAATATAAAGACGCCAGAAGAGTAGAGAAATAAGATGCTTTTGGAAAGACAATTATGTTTTGTCCTTCTACTTTACTTATTTTTGCCTAAGAACTATTTTCAAGTTTTATGGAGAAGCAAACAGATAAAGAGGGAACTCTCTGTTATTGTGAATATAGCTATTGTTAAAAGTATTCGCTGAATTTAGCTTGAAGAGTTATTCAAGAAATGGCTGCTTGGATAAGTCAACTGGAATTTTTGGTTTGCTTCTCTTGACTGGTTTTGTCCCATTCCATTTTGCTAATACTTTTGGAACTCAGCCGAGTTTCAGAACACATTTGCTAAACAGCATAGGGAAACAAGGAAGGCAGATGCTGTAATACAAAAACACAGCACCTGACCGAATGGCCAAGTTTGTGAAAGTGGGCCAGGAGAAGTTCAAATAATCTTTCACTTGTCCATAGTGATTTGAATTGAAATCACCTGTAGATGCTTGTGTAAAGCTCAAGATTTTTTGAACCAAAGAAAAATCCATTATTTGCACAGATGAATGTGTCAGGTAACCAATTTTGAAGAATTATTCTTTGTGCTGATGTTAAGAATTGTAGATGGCTTCTATTTTCTTCCCATGCAAGTCACTGCTGTATTTGAGAGAAAATGGTTTGTTTAGATTGTCACAGTGTATTAGTGCAAATCCAGTTTATTCTGGCTGTATTTGACTTTGATCTATACTTGCAGGTTATGGATCGATTGTTCAGATATATCCAGGAGAAGGACCTGTTAGAGCAGCCACAAGTTGTTTTGGATTTCCTAAAACTTTTTTTGACACACTCTCTGAGTTCCCTCTCAGCAAAGTGGCTAGCGTTCTGTCTGGAACATTTTCTTTAACGCCATTGCCTTCAGTGTGTGAAAAGAAAACACCAGTGGCAGAAGACAAAAATGGCTCAGGGGATGACAAGGAACTTTCTCTACCAGAAGCAGACATGGAATGCAGTCCGAAAGTAGCTATGGAGAGCGGTCAACCTGAAGATCAAGAAAAAGCGGAATTTGCATCGGATGCACTTGATGATCAAGCCAAGGGAACAGTAAGATCCTAACCTTTTATGGTAGTTTAAATGTAATTAAATAATTGAACGCATTGATATTTAAGTAAATATGCTTCTCAATTCACATTGCAGTATCAGGTATTACATGAATGTTTACTGTTATGCTTATCTGCATTATATGTTAATTAATTGCAAGATCTCTTGATAGACATCAGATTTAATAATAATTAGAAATGTGAATAAGTGCAGTGTACTCTGCATTGCTAAATATAGTCATAGCACCAGAATAATTTTATCTATTGTGAAATGTTTTGGGAGTAATTGTGATTTCTGTTCATTTTCAGTCAGCTGTAAGTTAAAATATTTCAGTATCTAACGCTGATATATAGCAATGTAAGTAAATTACCATATACCATGTACCATATTTTTCGGAGTATAAGACGCACCTTTTTCCCTCAAAAAAGAGAGTGAAAATCTGGATGCATCTTATACATTGCATGGAGTATTTTTGGCCTTCCGAAACCCCGTCCCCTTTTGTAGAAATGGATGTGCAGAGGGTTTCAGAGGCTTCCAAAGTGCTCCTGGGGGCTGGGGAGGGCAAAAATGAACAAAAAACAGGCTGTTTTTTGCTCAGTTTTGCCCCCAGGAGCACTCTATAAGCCTCCTAAAGGCTATGCATGCCTTTTTCTTTTTTTTTGAGGAAAAATGGGCCATTTTTGCTCATCCCCCCCCCAGCCCCCACGAGCACTCTAAAAGCCTCCTAAAGACTATGCATGCCCTTTTTTTGACAAAAAACAGGCCCATTTTCACGAAAAACATGCCGTTTTGGGAGAATCTGCAGAATGCAAAAACTTTTTTTTTAATTTGTGTCTTCAAAATTTTGGTGCGTCTTATACTCCGAAAAATACGGTAAGATTGTTATCTGACTTTATTGCAATAATATTTAACACAAGTACTTTTTTAAAAAAAAATTAGCAATATATTTAATTATTTGAAGTATTTCAGGTTGAAGCACTAGAATACATTTTGTTGTTTTTAACAATTCTATTTTTATCTTTCAAGTAGACCTTACAATTTGAGTAAGGCATTAGGAAATTTGCCTTTTGCAAAATATTAGAGATAAATGTTTTTAGAACTTCTATGGTTCTTAAAATCATTTAATCCGAATTTATACATATTTTAGACTCATGACAAACAAAAGAAACAAGAGGAAAAGAGGAAACAGCTGATAGCAGCTGCTGCTTTATTGAAAAACAAGGATGCTGATGGGTAAGAGCTCTCTTGTAGCATTGAACATGTCCAGGAATATCATTGTTTTGTAATTGCTTTCAAAAGAGAATTTGCCATTCTAAAAATGTAACTGGGTGTGGTAGTGCTCATCGTTTGTGAATAAGGGTTACTTGTCTATATAGCTTGAAGCTTAAAGTCAAGGTTCAGCTCTTTCTGGGTTTTCCTTTTTTCATTAGCTTGTTAAATTTCTGTGTTTGATCGAAAGATGCTGTAAATGGTCAAAATATTTTCAGCACCGACAGGATGACAATAGCCTGTACAATTATCCCTATGACGGAGAGGATTCATCAATATATCAGCTGTGATGATGACAGCTGTGTTCAGCCTGTCTATAGGGTTAAAGATAAATATCCTTATATAAGGAAAATAACCAGTGCATTAAAACATAATGGTTCAGATCTAAAATAAAGTTGAGGAAATTCATGAAAAAAATTCTCCTTAATGTGGGCAGCAACATTTCCTCAAATTTTGGCAAACTACCTGTAGCTTGAAGCCTTTTCCTTCCATGGTTTTTTTAAATTTAATCTGGGATTCAAATTATTTTTATATCTTTCAATAGCCAAAAAGTAACAGTCTTGATGTTTAGAAATGCAACTAACCTGTGTCTAACTTTCCATTACAGTTTAATTGTAGCCAGTCGATTTCATCCAACAAGTTTATTACTCCTGTTGTTAGAGCTGGTAGCTCCTTCAAGGCCTTTTGTTGTCTACTGCCAATATAAAGAGGTGAACCTAATATATTTTCTTAATTTAATATTTTTAAAGATTTTTCAGTAAGTTCATATAACCAGATGTTCTTGTTTCAGCCACTATTAGAATGTTATGCAAAACTGAGAGAGAAAGGTGGTGTCATTAATCTGAAACTTTCTGAAACATGGTTGCGAAACTATCAGGTAAGAATTACAAACAGATAAGTACCATAGAAAATGCAAGTAAGCCAGGGAAATTATGCATCTCTGATCAAATGGATATTTGAAATTGTGAAATAATGGGGGGTAGAAAATATTGTATTTTTTGGACTATAAGACGCACCAGCCTATAAGATGCATGCACATTCCCTTTAAAGGAGGAAAACAAGAAAAAAAATCTGCCTATGCCTCCATAGCCCATTTGCCGCCGCCAATTGCCACAAACGGGCGGCGACAATCCCAGCTACCTAGAACAGCTGATTGGCGCCACACCAACCTCCCACCGCAATATTCGCTCTATAAGATAGACATTCCCACCCACTTTGGGGGGGAGGGGTGTGTGTCTTATAGTCTGAAAAATATGGTGGGTCATTGTTCAGACTATGCCAAGTAATTTCATATTATAACTATTCTCTGATTATCCACTGGCAAGCCTGCCACTTATTGTAATATTTCATCTTGTTTTGTTTTTATTGTTAATGTATTTTTGTTTCCAATTCTGGTCAATGACCTAATAAAAATATTCATTCAGTTTGATATTATCATTGATTCATAACTCATCAATGTAGCATAATGGTAAGAATTTCTTTTTATGAAATTTCTGCAAGGCAAATTCAAGTGGCATCGAATGTCTGATTTTTACACTTGTTTAATATGTGTCTTCTTGACATCTTTTATTGCTGTCTGATCCATGAGCTTCACAGAATGTGCTATTAGTACTGCATTTATTACATAGCTTATTTGCCATTTCTTATTTTTAAGATCTTGCCAGATCGAAGTCATCCCAAATTGATAATTACTGGTGGCGGTGGATACCTACTGACAGGTATCACTGTTAAAAAGGAAAGCATAAATACCAGTGACTGCTTAGATGAGCCATCTTCTAAAAAGCGTAAGCTTCAAGAACACCAGTAATGCTTCAAGAAATTATGCTTGTGCTCTGTTACTAACTGAATTTAAAGGCCTAGCGGAATGCACTTTGTTTTCCATTTGCAGCTGAAGGTTCTTTTTTAAATCAATCAAGTTCAACCAAATGTTCTTATTGCCAATGTCATTCCAGACTCAGGTCGTCCCCATAACCTATGGAGCATTACTTTAGAACAGGGGTGTCAAACTCGATTTTATTGAGGGTCACATCAGGATTGTGTTTAACTTCATAGGGCATGGGGTGGGCGTGGTCATGGTGGGTGTTTGACACAGTCTCAAGATGCGCCTGGATTTCCCTTCTTTCTTTCCACAGTTCTTTACTATAACAATTTTCCTATCTCTTCTACCAGATATTACAGGCAAACATTTATTACTTATTCTTCATACTCCACTAAACTTTTTATTTCTAAATTTATACCCTATTGTTTAATAATAAATTGCTTTTTCAGGCAATTTATGCTATTGCCTGAAAAAGCTATTTATACTATTGTATTTTTATTATTCAACTAATAATAAAAATACAATAGCATAAATAACATGATAACACAAGACCTAACAGCAGAGATAAATTTCCAGGATAGTAAATAGTGATGATTGTCAATTATAGATTGTTGATTGTAGATTAAATGGACCTATAGTATGTAAAAATGTATTAACATAGGATGTTGTTTGTTTTCTATCCAGATCAGGCACTTACTTGAGGCCACATAATTGCAATCCAGTCCTCCTGCAGCACTCTGCCGGCCATGTGGAGGCCTCATGGGGCCTCCACACAGCTCGTTTTTGGCCTTCAGAGTGCTGCTGGAGGCCAAAAACGGGCCTCACGGGGCCTCTGGTGGCTCATTTTTTTGCCTCCCTGGCCTCCAAAAGCACTCTGCTTGCCAAAAACAGGCCTCACGGGGGGGGGGCGTATGTGCCCCCCCTCTGCAGCCTGTTTTGACCGCCAGAGGCACCATGAGCTGTTCCTTTGATATTTCCAGGCTGACCTCACGGGCCAGATTTAAGCACCCCTTGGGCAGCATCTGGTCCGCGGTCCTTGAGTTTGACACCCCTGCTTTAGAAGGATATGATTAAGTATCAGTCTTCCTGGAAATGTTGCAAAAATTGACTGAAAGTCCAGCTTGATTCTGTTTCAGAATTTTGTTTTGAATTCAAAAACCATGTTCACACTAATCCCATTTCCATTTCTGTATTTCAATTCATTTCAATTCCATTTCAATATTTTTTTAACTAAGCGAAATGAATGTTTCAAAATGCTGTACTATTATCAGTAAGAAAGGCAAGATTGATGCTAGACTATTGCACATTTTAACCATTGTGAATTTTAAAAAAAAGCAAACATTACATATTACTTTGCAAATGTTAAAGTAATGCTAGTCTGTTTTCACTTAACCCTTAAAAAAAAAAGAAAAGTAAAACTGGTTTCCATCTTTTTAACATGTGATAACTATATTTTTATGTGGAGTTTTTAATCTGTAAATTTGCATTTGAATAAATTATATTATTTTGTAATACATGAATTATTTTTTCTTTTAAGCAAGAAAGGATTGTTAAAGTAAGACGCCTTCTGGAGGGCAACCAAACGGGTGTGTTTCCCAACGTGCTCATTGGCCACAAAGTTCAGCTGCCATTATATTGGGCTCTGTATTGTCTTGTATTTGTGAATTGATCCCCATTCATCCAAATTCAAACAAGATGTAGCTAGATATTTATCTTAGTAGGGACCATAAAATTCTTACAACATTGATCATATCTTTCAGTTTTAATTTTGGTTCTGTTGCTGCTTTTGCAGCTTAATTTATTTCTTCAGTTCTTTGTACACTGCTTTTATAAGCTGTCTTGAATGATTCAGGGAAAGAAAGTTAAGGTATAAAGAGTCTAATAAAGAAAAAAAGAGGCAGACCCATTTGAAAGAGATATAAAAAGAGATCCTTGAAATAGATGGGTTTGATTAAAAGAACTGTAGACCAGTGTGGTGATCCTTCTATAAACATGGTCTAAATCACTTTTTTCCCTTTGAATCCAGATCATAGAGCAATCCTTTATTTTTAATTTAAGAAGATAATCAACAATCAGCTTTAAGACTTGGCTTTTCCCCACAAGCATTTGGGGCTGCTTGTTGAATTTCCCCGTTTTTATGATAGTGCTTGATTACCAGCCTATTCTGTATTTCAATTTATACAGTATATCATGTATGCTTTAATGTTACATGAATCTTTTAGGGGATTTTTTTTTCCTCGTTGTTGGACACTGCCTGGAATCACATTGTTTGAGCAGCCTTATGAATCTGGTAAATAAATAAATAAACAATCCCTTGTAGAGGAAGACTGGACAGTATTTTGTTACAGTGGGGCAGAATGAGTGGTACCTACAACTGGTCCTTGGGAGGTCCAGCATCACAGTGTCCTCGCGGTTGTGTAATTGCATTCTGGGTGCTTAGCACCCAGCTCACAATTATGACATTGCAGTGAGCTGCGGTCATGCGAATTCTGGGGTTCCCTGCCAGCTTCCCACAAGCAAAATCAAAAGGAAAAACCGGCAGGAAGTTGCAAGTCAGGGTCACATGAAGCCCTTGTTTAATGACAATATCTGGGACTGCTGGAATTACTGTCACTAAGTGATGCAGTCACGTGATTCCATGCTTTATGGCTAAGCAACAGCAATTCCGGTCTCAATCACTATTATAAAGTGAGGATTACTCACATAAACACAAAAATTCATATGAACCTTGTGAAAAAAATCTTTGAAAATAAATAAATAAAAATCTAGCCCCCACTTGGCTGCATTATCAATGCGTCCACTGCAGAGCTTGATTTGCTAAGTAGCAGAGCTACTTGGGAATAAAAACACTTATTGTGCCATGAACTTGATAATAACTAACTACGTCACCAGAATATATCACAGCAAGGCTGAGAAAGCAAAGAATGCTTTGTGTGCAATGTGTTACCTTCTACTGGAGTTTTGCTTCTTCCTTTTTTTTCCCTTACCCATTTTGAAAGTCTTGCTGGGTAGGTATGTAAATTGTTTTACAAAGCTGTTTAACTATTTGAAGTTTGGTGTTGGAGGAGACTTTTGAGTACACCTTGGACAAAAGGCTCATTAAACAAATCAACCGAGAATTGTCACTCGGGGCAAAATGATACGGTACAAATGATCGTACTTTGAACACATTATGTGAAGTTCTAGCTGTCTGAAAAAGACTAGTGCTGGGAAAGGTGGAAGAGAAGGGAAGAAGATGTTCAGCAGCAAGGTGGATGGACTCGTTACGGTGATGATGAATGCACCATCTGAAGACTTGAAAGACCAGGTTAGAGATCTGTCGTAGAGAAAATTAAGAGGCAACATCGACGTGATGGCACATAAACAAAAGCTTTCATCTCGTTGGTTAACATAGGTAAGTGCCTCAAGCGTTATGCAAATATTTTTAGTAGTCAGACTATAATAGTATCCCATGTATGATGTTAGCAAACTGCATTTCAGCGGAATGGAACAGTTTAAAATCCTGTGGCATTCTAATATTGACAACAGTGAAATCTATAATGTAATCTAACACCTGAAACTTGGGGCCCAATCACTAAAATGTATGTTTTATTTCCCAGCTCAGTTAGGAAGATCATTCCGGCCCCTGAACAATTTTGTCTAATCAGTTTCACTAACCATGTAACCATTGAATAACTAAGCTTCTGTGAGAGTCATGTGTAACATAGCTTATAAAAACTAAAACTGTTATTACTTTAACAATATTGGGGAGTTGCTCCCCCATGCACTGGACTGATCTAGAAAAAAAGCAGTTTATAAATGCAACAAATGCATACTTCACATATATCGCAGGTACAAAATCAACCTGGAGACACTTTTTTCCTCGGTGAATCCAGGTTATTAGCCGACTTTCTCAGATTTTAATCTCCCCCAGTTGAGTTATGGTAGGAAGAAAAAACACTTGGAGTTGATTCCCCAACCTATTTAATTTGGCCTTGAAAAACCAGAAGGAACGTTCATTTATGCTCATGATATGAAGCAATATTTCCAACATCCAGTAGGTGGCAATTAGAGAATCAAGAATAGAGAATGCTAGTGATAATAAAGGACCTATGAAAATATTGATTACCGCAGATCGACAGCTAACAAGCCTATCCACAATTGTGTTTTATATTCATTTAACTTTTTAATTGAATGTTTAATGTGTTCAATATTTGTGTGACTGGTTTGGTATTTTGAGACCAGGATGCCTTTGGCTAGCCGGCCTTAGTGCTAAAATTTTGGCCCCTGAAATCTTAAATTGCAATCAGTGCAGTAGAGATTTTTTTTCCCCTAATAAAAATCATTGATACTACTGGTGCTTTTGGAGAATAAACAAAGCCTGCTCACTTTCATATAAAGGAATCATTTTCCAGGCCTGTTGTCAAGATCCAATAAAAACAATCTGCTTAAGTGGTACTAGAATTAACAGCTATAAAATAAGTTGGAAGCCTTGTGAAGATCATCAGCATCAGAATATGATGAAAAGCAGAAACTTTGTCCTGTTGAGTACCTCACTACCATAATTCCTTCAGGTATTCTGATACTACCAGAAGGTTAAAATTCAGTTTTCTTTTAAAGCTGGGGTATCTTAATTTTTGTATTGCTTGAGTAGTGGTGAGGACCTTATCACCAAACGTGAGTGAGACCAAAATAAAGTTGATTAGTGCACAATAAAAGCTAAATATATATTACATTAAAATTCATTGCTATAAAGGCTGTGAACATTTATTTTAGTTTCTTTTAATCCCACCTTTATTATATTTATCAACAATGCAAGGCAGCAATTATGTAGCTAGCCACTTAGGTATCAATGACTCAAAAATACAGTTCCATAGAAACTTTGGGGGTAGTTTAAGAAGCACATTCAATGCTTTTGTGGGAGAACTGCAGCCAGAGTCCTTTTTTCATAAGCTGTGAGTGTTCAGTTTATCTCATAATAACATAGGAGTAGATGGCGCATCTATTTTGGTGCTGTCAGCGTTCCAAAGTAGATTTCAAGGTACTACAAAATAAACTAATCTATAAGGAACAAAAAACTAGTTCCAATATAGACTTACAAGCATACTACTGTGTCTCCTCTGACAAACCTGTGTAACTCATAAACAAGCTATGCAGGAGCACATGCAGTTAACTACGGTATGTAGACAATGTAAAGTTTATTATTTTTTACCAAGATAATATATTTCTGAAGAACGCACACACAATTATCTTCATACATTTCAAAATTCAGAAGGCAAGAATTCATGCTGATCTTAAGAAATCTTTTGGAACAGAAAGATGCTTTGTACTGATGTAAATTATATATTTAAAGGATGATAAACTATTTCTAATTAGGGAGAACAACATTTGAGGCAGTGACTTTACTAGTAAATACGGGATAGTTTAAATAAAGCTACTCTTCACCATACCACATTAGGTCAAATAAAATTCATCCTCTCTGGTTATTGTTGAATTTTTCAGCTATCTTCTGCAGTTCCAAATCCATAGCAGCCAGGTTTTCCAGTTCTTTCTCCTGTGATAATGGAAAAGGAAATCCATGTAGATTATGACCTTAAAAGCATACAACACTTTTTTTTTTATTTTGAGCATTTGATTGTTAGACATTCATGCAATTGTGCTGCATAGTGATCTTGGGTTTAGATTTAATTAGATTTGATTGTGGCTCATATGCAAGTATTATGTTTGGATTTTTAATTCTAATGTAGCTCTAGTTACTTTTTCTGGCTCTTCCAATAGCTTTTTCTATTAAAGCTGTATAAAATAAGCAACATATGTATGCACACGTGTGTGGGGACATCCAGGGGCTGCTTTCACAACAGTCAAGAAATCGATCAGAAAAAAGTACTCAGCGTTCTATAAGAATTAAACATTCTATTTTACTAGATTTTAATTACCTATGTAATGTTTGCAAAATACTTGTAAAATATGGTTTTATTGCAATAAAAATTTTGTAAATGCATAATCTCCCAACATCACTCAAGAAAACTGAGAAAGGAAATGTAGGGAAGAGTTCTAAATACTCCTGCATTCTATTTTTACGATTCATGTGATCCATTTCCGTAAGGAGAGCACGATGAAATTAATCTTACTTTCCATCAAAGCATAGTGATGATTCCTAAACATGGAGATCAACCATGTGATGTTAACCTGTGCCATTATCATGTTTGCGTACTATAGTAATTCATATTTTGTGTACAGTTTCTCTAGGAATCAGTTTATAAGTGCCAATTGTTTACATTTTGCCAAAATGACCAGAAATTATCTTCATGCTTTTCTTCAGATTTTTAATTCTTCTCTGCATCCTCATAGTTGTCAAGAATATTTGGCACTGATCATTTGTCAAGTTATGTGGTCAGATGGTTTTCCCAGAACATGAATTTATAGTATGGCAGTTATGTCACTCCGTGCACACTTGCTTGTAGTTATTTCAGTGAGACATGATACACCATGTTGTGTAATATTGAAAGTCAGGATGTGTCATTCCTGAAAACGTAGGCAGCCTGATAGAAATCTGACTATTTCTAAGTAGGAAGTATGGGAGGAAATGAGGCCTGCAGCCCAGAATTTAAATGAACACATGAACAGAACAGAACAACAGATTTCAAATGAAATATTGGTTACTCAAAGTTTAAACAGGTCACTGTTGTGATGAGCAGTGTTGAGTGTCATGCAGCTAAGCACGTATCTATGTATATACACAGATGTATCTTGCTTGAGTGAAACCTTACATTAGGTGACTGGCCTGGGTCAAAGTATTCCCTATATAACATTTTAATTAGTCCTCTTCCATATTACAGTTAAAAATGTAGTGAATGCCTTAAAAGCAATAGTTGAAGCCTATGAGGAACATAAAACACTTGTATGTCTTAGCAGCAGTTACCAGTCCAGAAATGCAGCTATATTAACTAGATCAATTTAAAGCAAGAAGAATGAGCCTATTGGCTTACAATCTGAATGCCTTTCTTAAAAAAAAAATATGTAGGACTTCCTGGAGCTTACCTTTTGTTCAGGTATTTTGTAAGAAGTAACATCAGAACTAAAGTTTCACTCTAGCTTAGTCTATAACTAGAAAGATCGTTACAGATTATCCCCAGAAGAAAGTTCTTTGCAGAAAATCAGTCTTGCCTTAGCCAATGTTTTGCCATGCCATGACAAAGAAGTTGATTTAAACAGGGACTAAGTAGATTGTACAATTCTAGATATTTTCATTTCAAATAAGTTACTTGGGAGTCTTAACATCTTCTGCACTAAATAAATCAGAACATGTCCTTGATTGACAGCTTCCTAGATATTTTTAACACTCAGGATTTTTCTTCCCTCCTCTTAAGATCCAGTTTTGCTGACAATTTCAATAGGGTAATTATGAAGCAACTTCAGCAGGTTGTGTCATTCCAGTGAAGTACAAGTGTAAATGATACCTAGACACAGAGAAGGCTAAGTGAAAAACAGCTAAAGCCAGGTTATTAACTGGAACACATTGATGGTCCTGTCAGTTATTTGACGACTGTATGAAGCCTGAAATAACAGGGCTTCATATTTTTTTATCACATACAAAGTTGTCAACATGATACTGAGAATATAACCCTAACGTACAATATGTTGCGCCTAGCCACATACTGTATTATTTTGCTGAAATAAAAGACTTTTTTTAGAAAAGAATTGTTCTAGCTTTCTTAGAAATCATAAAATAAATACCTCTTCTGGTGTCAGAGGCCTCTGATTAAATTTGTTCTTGCCACTTCTTATTACGTGTCCCCTTTCAACGTCTTCTTTTGAGCTGTAGAGTTCTGGAAATTCTGCAGATTTCTTCCGGTAGCTGAGAAGATGGGCCAGCTCATCCATTCTATCATACTGCCTTTTTGTCTCAGGTTTGTATAGCCTCTCAGGATTATTATTGCTGTCCTGTTTGGGGCTTAAGCTATCCAGGATCTGTTTCTTCTCCCACAAGTCATAATCATTATATTCAGGAAAGAATTCCCTCTTATTCAAGTGGGACTTGCGTTCTTCACTCTCCAACAGTGGATTGATGATGTCAGCGTTCTTGTCCACAGGTCTGTTTTTCCACCTGGGTTGTTGGGAATATAGTGATGTTAAAGCTCTTTTTACATTTTCTACAAGATAGTGGCTTCTTGGGTAGCCCTCCTCTAGCAGAAGAGTCCTTTTATTCTCAAAGTGTTTTCCTCTCTCGCTGTAGTGTGGAGTTTCTAGCTCTCCATCATTTCTGGCATAGTGTTTTTCTTCTTGGCTATTGAGTTGCTGCTCTCCATCTCCTTCTCTCTCCTTGTTTTGTGGTTTTGCCATCTCTAGCTGTATGCTTGGTTGGCCATGGTGCCGTTTCTCATTTATGCTATCATGGCTTTGTTTCATACCTCCATTTCCCTTCCCTGCTTTGCTGTAAGGGACCCTTACTTCATAGTGATGTCTGCTCTCCCTTGATGGCCCACCGAAAAGTCTTTTCTTCATGTACTGATACTGTTTCCTTTCATTTTCCTCGCTCTGTTGCTTCATGTCTTCATCACTGTCCTCTTGGCTGGGGTAGTGTTGATCCCAATATCCTTGGTTCCTGATCTCTCTCTCCATTTCCTCGGACCTATGCATTTCAATAGCGTTTCTTGGCTCCACAAAGTAATGTCCTCTCTCATAATGGTTGGGTTGATGACTCCTTTTACTCCAGAATTCACTTTCTTCCTCACTGGGCTCTTCAGATGAGCCTCTTTTTTCACCAATGTGATGACTGTTGTATTCACGGGACTTACCCAATCTTGGTTTTCTTCGGTAATGTCCTGATTTGTGGTCTTGCTTCTCTGTTTCACCACCGTCCCTCTCTGAAGAATCTTCAAATTCTTCATGAAAGCTATGACGATACTTTTCATTACTCTCCTCTTCTTCCTCCTCCTCCTCTTCCTTTTCCTCCTCCTCCTCCTCACTGTCTTCATTTTCCCTTTCTTGACTCTGAATTATTTCTTCCACATACTTTTGGCCATGAGAATGCTTGTAATCTCCCTCATTCACTTTTCCAGATGTAAGAATGGACTTTTTCTCTAGAGGCACAGATTCTATTTCTTCGCCGGCCTTTTTTTCCTTGTTTCCATCTTCATTGTGGTGATTTCTTTTGTAATTATCTTCCTCGGCTCCTTTTTCATTCTCTTTCTTTTCTTCTTTATGGTCTCTATCCAAAGCATAAGAGGTCCCTTGGGAGGCAGTTTGTGGGTTGCTGCTTCCCCCTTTTTTTTTCGTTTCCAGGTGCCACTTATCATCTCCTTCTGTCTGTCTTTTAAACTCTTCTTCACTCACATCTTGTTCTTCCCTCACAGTCCCTTCTGACTGCTTAGTTAATTCTTCTGATTCCGATAAGGTTCTTGTGCCAAGTTCCATGTCTTGCTGTACATTTTTCTCTTTTTGTTGTTCACCTGCAGCAAAACAAAATATGCTTCCTCATTATAATACAATTACATTTTCATGTTCATTGTGGATTACCTGTCTTCTGTCGCTGATTTTCTTCCACTTTTCCTTTCTCTTCAGGACCTCCCAAAGAGAATCAACAACCATGGGGTTGTTTTTTTTTTCTTTGTACTATTATTACATTGTGCATACCTCACAATGGTCAGTGGTGACTTCATCACTTGCTCACTATTTCCCCAACATTTCCTCAACTCTCACCTGGCAACAGCCATGCCATCAAGCTGCGTGGCACGACAAAACCGTGCTCGACTAAAGCGCGCCCAATTAAACCGCTTCGCTGACGTCATCAACAGGGCGACAACAGCGAGCGCAGAGAAAGAAGGGCGCTTTAAATAGCGCTTTGAAAGCAAGCCGATTCAAGTTAAGGTAAGGGTTAGGTTTAGGGTTAGGTTAAGGGTTAGGGTTAGGTTTAGGGTTAGGTTTAGGTTTAGGGTTAGGTTAAGGGTTAGGGTTAGGTTTAGGGTTAGGATTAGGTTAAGGGTTAGGTTAAGGGTTAGGTTTAGGGTTAGGTTTAGGGTTAGGTTTAGGGTTAGGTTTAGGGGGGTTAGGTTTAGGTGTTAATTTTAGGTTTAGCGTTTACACCGTGCTTCTGTCTCCGTGCTATTGTCGCGCTGTGATGACGTCAGCTACACGGTTTCGTCGAGCGCCCTTTAGTCGAACGCAGTTTTGTGGTGGAACCATCAAGCTGTAGCAAAGAAAACAAAGGGGCTCTTCCATGAGCCCTATGGGATAGAAATCAGCAATTTTTGAATCCGTATTTACAAACTGAATGGATACAAATATTTAACCTGACCTTTAAAAAAAACCAGGTCACAGAATGCACTTACTCTTCTACAAGCATGCAAAGGTTCTTGCCTATAAACATTGATCTGTCAAGAAGAATCTTAGGGACCTTTGCTGCTTTAGCTTGTCCTAGAACATGGGAGTCCTTTTTTTATGAATAAGGTTAACATTATGGTTGTATATATGTGTTCATGTCCCCTTTTAAAACTAAGTTGTTTAAAATGTTCCCAAGCCTGAGGGCTGAATTTATCAAGGGCCCCATTTCCTGGCTATATTTCTAACTGGCCAAGCATCTCGGCTACTGTGTACATTTATTTTGGATGCTTGTTTTATTGTTTTAAAATATTTTAGTTCCTTCGTTATAATATATTTTTTGAATTGTAACCCATCCAGAGTCACTGAGTGAGATAGCTGGCTATAAAACTGACTGGCTGACATTTTGCACCAAAACTTTATTCAGAAATCAAATACGAAATTTACCATTTACACTATATTGCCAAAAGTATTCGCTCACCTGCCTTTACTCGCATATGAATTTACTGTAAGTGAAATCCCATTTCTAATCCATAGGGTTCAATATGACATCGGTCCACCCTTTGCAGCTATAACAGCTTCAACTCTTCTGGGAAGGCTGTCCACAAGGTTTAGGAGTGTGTTTATGGGAATTTGTGACCATTCTTCCAGAAGCGCATTTGTGAGGTCACACACTGATGTTGGAAGAGTTTACATGGCCTACCACTTCGTGGCTGAGTTGCTGTCCTTCCCAAACACTTCCATGTTCTTATAATACAGCTGACAGTTGACTGTGGAATATTTAGGAGCGAGGAAATTTCACGACAGGATTGGTTGCACAGGTGGCATCCTATCACCGTTCCATGCTGGAATTCACTGAGCTGAGAGTGACCCATTCTTTCACAAATGTTTGTAAAAACAGTCTACATGCCTAGGTACTTAATTTTATACATCTGTGGCCATGGAAGTGATTGGAACACCTGATTCTGATTATTTGGATGGGTGAGCGAATACTTTTGGCAATATAGTGTATATTGTTTTATGTATCTCATGCCATAATATGTATATGTGTATGTATTTGTGTGTGTGTGTGTGTTTTCATTCCAGTATAATTCTGGAACGCCTTGAGCAATTTCAACCAAACTTGGTACACAGATGACTTACTCTCTGTAAACAAATATTGTAGGGGTAAGATAACCCCTAACATCCCTCAGGGTGTGTGTTCTGTTAAGATGCAGCCTGTTGTGCCTTAAAACAGCTTCTATTGTACTGCTGTAAAATGGCTTCAGTGGAGTTGCCATGGTAACGGCTTCACAGTACTCCACAAGGGGGCTTCCTCTGGTAAGGGGGAAAATCCAACACTAGAAATTATGTTTGGTCCGGACATTTTCAACAAGGCTTGATTATTTTTGAGGACAAATGTATTGCCATGATCAATGAAACATTACTGCAACTCGGCCTGCCTTCACCACTATGAGACCGACACGACATTCTTCAAACAGATTACATATGAGAAAAGAACTACATCGAAAAGCTTAGTGCAAATATTGCAGACAAGAAACCACTTCTAAACCAATCTAAATCAGAAAAAAGCATACCAAATGATCATGGATCAGCTAGCAAAACAAGGTGGTATCACTTTCCTTGACACTTTTTGGGGACACCGGGAAAACATTTGTAACTAATTTAATTGCAGCCGAAATCAGGGCTTTTCCTGTCTAATGCAGGATTAGGATAAATAAATACCCAGGCAACGCCGGGTTATCAGCTAGTATATTATAATAACGCTAATATATTATAAAAACAATTCTTAGCCCAAACTTCCTGAGCAAGCACTAGGGGATTGAGGCAAGTGGATCTCCAGTCCAAATAAATTCCATTTTTAGATATTCTTCATCATGTTTTCTATTCAGACTTGTGTGTGTGTGTGTGTGTTGCTTGTGCCAGATAAGAATTCCATTTAATTGTGCATGTGGATTCATAATGAGTAACTGCACTTGGAACCCATTAACGTCAGCTTTCTGAAAATTAGTACTCACATTGCTATTTGCATTAACACTTGTACTCTTCAATGAGCCAGTTTTCAGCTAGATCTCACAGAATGGGTATGTTATAGGTTTCATTGTTTAGAGGCCTATGTTTGATAGGCTGTAGGGACTTTCTGCTGTGGCACTTTAATTGTGGAACCTTCTCTCTCAGAGATAAGATTGACCACATCATTCATGAGTTTTCGAAAGTCCCTCAAGATCTGGTTATGCCAACAGACTTATGTCCCCCGGGGGAATCAATGAAGTTGTGAGGTTGATTCCATTATCTTGGGAACAGACAGATGAAGGCTTCAAGGATTTTAAGTGGGTTCTGACCTCTGTTACTTCCACCACTGAAGGGATTCTAAGCTTGAGTCTTGAGTCCATACCCCACTCTAGCTGGAGATTCCACCACAATATGATTCTTCAGAAAAGAAGCAATGTATTTCAGCTTCCCTATAATGGGCTTGCTGGGAAACTTCACTTTCCCAGAAATGCTTCCTACTACCTCCTATACATAGTGCCATATCTATTAGAGTCTACTTTAGGTAGTCAGATAAATTTAATAAATAAGTAAGAAAGACTGTAGATTCTTAAGCCACTGTCAATTCCATTTACACTAGGAACTTGGAATATGTTTCTTCAGATATTGTTGAGCTACATTTCTCAACAATTTCTAGTAGTAGTGGCAATATTTGTTGGAAATTGTAATTGAGCAATTTTGGAAAGTCTCCCAGTCTACATTACATAAATATTACAATATTATATATAATGTTCAACTAATATAAAGGCTAATGGAAAGTATGCTAGGTTTTTTAAAGATACACACTTACTTTTCTTCAGAAGCTCCTTACACTGTGGATTAATCAGCGGAGAATTGCCTTTTGACAGACTGTTCAAAAGGACTTCTATAATACATCGGGTTATCTAGATCAAAAGCAGCAAAGGAAGATTCATTTAGTTTTGAAATATTTCAACCAAATATTCAAACTAATTAAAATCATAAACATGGAAAACAAATTTATAATTGGAAGATTCCAAGTGAGTAAGTAATCCTGAAGCAAAGGAAACTAAATTTCTAAGTTATTTAATAGTTGCTCAAAAAAAGAAAAAATGCCCAGCTAAAATAATAGCATCTTTATTTTCACCATCAGGATATAAACAAGAGGAGGAAATCCAAAAGTTTAGGCCAATAGATTTCCAAAGCATGTGACACCAACAAAAATGGGTGTTTTTTTTTCATATGCCTTACTTATTTCAAAGGGCCTCCAGCCCCACATGGAAACTTCAGCCATATTTTTGTGGCATCTAATCCCCATAGAATCATGCTGCTGAATTTTAGGTACAGTAGCTTTGTAGCCAGCTGGCCATCAACATTTTCTTCCCTCCTCATTAACACCATCTTCTTCCTGCACTGATCTCAATTTTAGTATCTACCAAGAAAGATATGGTGATCCTGCTTTTTTGAGAAGACAGAAAATATAAAAGGTTTAAAATTATATAAACACCAGTCAAATATCCTGCATTGTATTATGAAGTACTGCACAAATCCAGTTTTTATTTCATAAGATATGGCTAAGTTAATTCAGAGTCACTTATGGAAAGATTCTAGGTTAGGTGATTTGGACTTGCCATGAAATACTATGTAATAAGACATAGTAGCTGGAATTCCCATGACTTCAGTTAGAGTTAAGGTGTCTCAATGTAAACATTTTGTGTTCTTGTCTTAATATTGTAAAAATCGACTCCTAGAAGAGATATTTTGGTTGACAACAGAAATATGGGAAGAGAATGAACATTTCTCTGGTTTGAACATCCATATGGAAATGTTGAATTGGGCACAATCCAGAAAAAAAAATGCACGAGAGAAGAGGAGGCCACCAGGTTCATTAAATTATCTTGCTTACAAAAGACTCCTGTCCCTGTCCCTTGCTAAATTGTTCTGAAAGGTCCTTACTCCAAAGAAAGGAGTTGTCATCCATTAAAACATGGTAGTACCTATGTATAAGGCACTTTGTATGTCTCTAGAGCATGCAATAATTTCTAATTATCTGTGAAAGGTGTCAGGTGCAAATAAGTTCCAATTAAGCTGATTTATTGCTCATGCCTATTCACAAGAATCTAGTCAACTATAATTCAAGAGGGGTTGAATTTAGATTGCTTGTGGGAATATAACAATTCTAAGCTGATCCCTCTCTTAACTCTGCCCCAGGCCCTGCCACTCCTTCTCCTACAAAAGTGACCTAAAACATTTCACTTTTTAGATTAATAAGTTTTCTGCTCACCATTTCTCCAGCATGGTCATCATTTTCTACTGGAGCTGAATGAATACCTATAAACCAAAAAGATAAACATTAGAAGAGAGCTTAAAATCACACCATTAGAAAAAGACAACTATACCCGCTTTGGTTTTACCAAATATTTCAAAGCATTTTTTTTCCAACCAAATAATAATTTCCATGCCCTAGTTTTAGGGCTCCCATATCACCATTTGCACAACCACACACCCTGCTCATTCTGATTTAACATGGTTCTCTTTATTTAAAAAGGTACTAGTAGGAGGTTAGAGAAACGATAGCAAGCAGCATCCGCTTTATTTCCAGCAGTGCAGAAACTGCATCTAATACATCTAGGAGCAGGCTAGCCAAGTGTGACAGAGAGCAGCCTGATGTGGTTATTTTGAGTTATTTGGATTGCCTGCATTTACAATGTACTGTATATACAACGATGCGTATTTGTACAGTGAAAATACAACCATACATCAACACTGCAGTTTGTTGTGACTATGACTTGCAAAGCTAAAGCAATAACTAGTTCTGAGTTTTTGAAGAGGCTTCCCTCCCCTCCCTTTGCATACTCACATGTAAGCAATACACACACACAGTGGTGGGATTCAGCCAGTTCTCACCTATTCGGTTGGTAACTTTCTAAGCAGTTTGGAGAACCGGTTGTTGGAAGAAATCTTATTTTGGTTTTTTTCCACTTTACAGTGCTAATCCTGTAAGGAAGGCAGGAAGGAAACATTCTGGTGTTGTTTCTAGCCTAATCTTTATTGCCCTGCTTACAGAAACTGCCTCTTCGGTTAACCCTTATTACATTGTAACAGCTAAGGCGAAGCGCCATCGATGTGATTGACATTGAGTTGGCTGCACCCATCCAGTCACAAGACCGCCAAGCCACGCCTACCCAGCTGGTCATTAGGGCAGAAGACCGGCTGTTAAATTATTTGAATCCCACCACTGCACACAAACATACAAACACACACACACACGCACGCACGCACACACATACACACACAACAGAGAGAACTATTTGGTTTATTTTGTTTGGTTCCACTGGGTGGGTATTATTTCATTTTATAACTGTATCTTTGTTTAGATGCTTCTCTTTCCCAATATGAAAAACAAATATTAGTTTACCACCCTGATTTGCAAGTCTTACTGAAGCTGATTTATATGATATTGTGATTTTTCCATTATCAATAAAGCATGTTATTTTGTATTATTCCACTAGCATGATTGTATGAAACCTTTTTTTAAAAGGTTGCTTGGGTTCAAATAATAACAGCTATAATGGACCAAGAAGGAAAAACAAGGAAGTAAGTATGATCAACTAAATATATCAATATAATCTTTTAATTTTCACATTATTTTTGAATTATGATACCGTAGTACAGGGGTGGGTTCCTGCCAGTTCTAACCTCTTCTATAGAAGAGGTTCCACAAATCTATAGTGCTGTTTAGAACCGGTTCCAGCTCCCTCCCTCCGCCCATCCACACATCATCAAGAGTGTTGGAGTTGAAGTCCACAACTCTTAAAGCTGTCAAGTTTAAACACCCCTGGGGTTTTTTTCTAAAGGGTTAGGGGTGCAAGGGTCTTGTAACTTGACAGCTTTAAGACTTGCGTGCTTCAAATGCCAGAGTTTCTGAGCCAGCATTTTGGTTGCTAAGCAAGAGCGTTGTTAAGTGAGCTTCACCACATTTTACGTTGCCACGCCCACCCAGTCACATGGTTGGCAAGCCACTCCCACAAAGCAGGCCACACCCACAGAAGAGGTTCTAAAAAAATTTGAAACCCACCACTGCCGTAGTACCAATGCAAAAGTCCCTGGCAAGTTGCCAGATGGCATTGGGAGTGTCGCTTTCCCCACCTTAGTGTGTCAAGGGAATGCTGGTTCATATTCTCTGCCTCTGTGTTTGAAATCATCCCACCCTCTGCCTCCCCCCACTCCCACATAAGTGCCTGCCTCCATCTGCAATGCAGGCAGTAAAAAGCAGATGCAGACACAGCACCAATGTAAGCAAATTGGTTTGCTCACACGGTTTAATCATGAATGAACATCTAATGTTCAGCCATCCATCAGGCAGGACACTAATTGGTAATGCAAACCCCATGGGTGCTCGCCCAAGCCATGTTCAGAAGAGTAGGTGCTGTAATTTCTCGCCCTCGTCCCAAAATCCGTTTGCAGCTTTGATGCTACAAAGCGCTAAGGTATATTTTTGGAGAGAGAGAAAATGAAAACAGCATTGATGGCCCGGTTGGATCATTCCAGCCTCTTCCAAGTGACAAGGCCTATTAAATAAGGCGCAGTGATCGAACATGATATTTGATACTTCATAAAAGAGGGAACGATATGGTGTGAGAGTAAATTAGAACAGGCTTTGAATAAAATATTGGAGAAACCCTTTGGGCACTTGGTACGTATTCCATTTTTCCTAGCATGTATCCTCTGGTAAAATTGCTTTTTACTTCAAGATATTTGTCATCTGTCAGCAGAACTGCCAGTGGTATAGGAGATAGCTGCAACTTCCGCTTAAAGCGTCTTGTTCATCTTCAATCATTTATATGGGGAAGCTTGTTTGGTCCTGAAAGTTAAAGAACTCATCTAGATCTAGAGTAAAAAAAAATGCCCACATGCAATCACCTACCTCCTATAATTATATAGAACCCCATCATTTATCCTTTATCATTTATATAAGAGCCTAGGTGGCGCAGTGGTTAAATGCAGCACTGCAGGCTACTGCTAGATCAGCAGGTCAGCGGTTCAAATCTCACCGGCTCAGGGTTGACTCAGCCTTCCATCCTTCTGAGGTGGGTAAAATGAGGACCCAGATTGTTGGGGGCAATATGCTGACTCTCTGTAAACCGCTTAGAGAGGCCTGAAAGGCCTATGAAGCGGTATATAAGTCTACTGCTATTGCTATTGCTATCCCTTTCCCACTTAACAAGTAGTCAAACCACAACCTGCGTCAATCCCTTTAATTCTGTTTTGTGATACCTCCCATCCCAGGGGTGTCAAACTGGCGGCCCACGAACCGTATGCATCACATGCAGGCCATGCCCACCCCAGCTCCATGAATGGGGAAAACGTTGTGAAACATCACATGACGGCAACGTGACATGACACGTTTGACACCCATGTCCTAGAGGATTGAAATTTTGCAGTTGTTTAAATAAACCTCAATGCTTTTAATTGCTTCATGAAAATCACTACAAGCATTAAAGGCACACATTGTATTATTTTTTTATTACGGTCATCATCATCTAACTTCTGATGTGATTCTCCTTTTTTAAAAAAAAAAACATGATTCCCGCTTGGTGAAGGGACCTCTGGTCCCTATAGTGTGGGTCAAAATACTGTTACAGAACTTCCTCAATGTGATTTAAAGGGATGCCAACAATTGTCTAGAAGAAAACATAGCAATTAGTTATTAGAAGGGTATAACATAACACATCAACATTCTACTTAATACCATCAAAGATGGCAAAGACTTGTTCTTTGCTTCCCCAAAAGGCATGACTTGACCTAAACAGAGATTTTAGTTGAACATTACAAGAAATGTCTTCATGGTGAGAGAATGAAGTTTTAGACGTGGCATGCTAGAAGAGCAGTACCCTTGCCTTCAGTCCCCTCTGTAGAACTGGATTATTTCACAAGTGGAAAGTTTTTATTATTTTTTCAGGAGACCAGGGTAACAGGAAATTGAGCTGTCAGGTTATTTGTCACTGAAGCGAATGAGAAAGGGATTTCTAATATTATTGATACTACCACCTCCTATATTTTTATGAATGTAACGATAAGCTTATTGGGATATTTCTAGCTGAAAATTAGCACAAAAAAAGCATTGTCATTATCTGGCCATTTGTGGATGAATGTTGGTATTGCAGTCCAGGGAAGAGATTGTTCTTAACTAGATTTCATAGCTGCCCCATAAATAAAGGAGTTATAATGCAAGAGCACTATAATGGAAAGCCAAATGCTGTGCCAGGTCTGACACTCAAGCCAAAACTCTGCCATATGTTCCAGGACTCCAATCCTCATCATACATGAGGACTGACCATGATGCTGAGACTGCTGGAAAGGACTGAAATTCACCACCTCCTAAACTAACTGCCATTCAAAATGCTTACAAAGGAAAGCATGGTAGGAAGCAAGTGGAATTGCTGTTGAGTTTAATTCCCTAACAGTAATTTAAGCACTGAACACAAAATGCTACCATCTGTCAGCTGGCAAAAGAGCATAGAGGACTATTTATTTGGACCATATCCCTGAAGCACCATTCATTGAGTGTTTCTCGTGCAGGCGCTCTCTCTCTCTCTTTCCCTCTCTCCCCTCTCTCTCTCTTTCTTTCTTTCTTTTTTTCTTTCTTTCTTTCTCTCTCTCCCTCCCTTCCCTCTCTTTCCTTATATAAACACTATATTAAGATTACAATATTGTCCACCAATATTTATGTTGATGTTTTTCATGGTGGGATGCCACTTGGACCAAATGGAAGGAATTCTAGATTCTAGACCAAAATCCTTCTTTTGTGGTGTGGCTGCAAAGAAGGTTGGATACAGATCTGACATTCTTTTGATCCTGTGTGATAGGATCACACAGTACAACATACAACAAACTCTAGTGTCTGTATTGAGTCCAGCTGGAATGCATCTGTTTTGGATTTCCCCTCCTGTCTGCATCTTTTGTGCCCCATTCTGTACAGTTGGAGAATCTGTGGACCAAATTTGAAATGGAAGGGATGCAGGGGGGAAAAGGGAAGGGGTAATGAATCCCATTTCTAATGCATGAGAAAAAAAATCTACATGGGATGTAGTCCTCTTATTTCTTTTAATTGGAGGAAAATCTTGAGGGATTGTACCAGAGGTGGTATCCTCTGATTGTACAAGAGGATGTCATCATGGATCTTCTGTGCATACGCACACACTCCCGCAACCGAATCAATATTGAAGATAAGAGGATACCATTACTGGATTGTACCCTACAATTCCATATGTAGATTAACAGACACTGAGGTCCATGTGATGAACAGTTACTACTCATTAAGCTGCTAGATCCTGATACAGGTTAAAGCAATGTTTCAATAAATTGCTATATTGCAACATTAAATAACAGTGAGATAAGAGGTCAAAAGGACCTGTCTAAAGTGGTGACGTTGTTTGGGGAAGGAAAATTCATCACCAGCAGAAGGGTGTCCTTTAAGCTACATTCAATTTTTGCTAGTTCCAAATGTTGATAAACTCAGAAAGCATCAATGCACTGGCTGTTCTTTCTTCAACTTGTATCAAACGTTTAACTAGCACATAAGAGAATCACTGAGCGTGAAGTTTTATCCTGACATTTTCTACAGCTAATTAAAATATATATCAACTGCAATGGCCATTGTTTAGCCAGGATCTGAGTGTTTAATACAGACTGAGAAATTTAAGAAAAGGTCTTGTCTCAAAGCTGTGAGGCTACATGAGATTTAAAAGACAATGCATTTGACCAAGGAGGAAGTATATTGAAGGTGGAGGCTACAACCCTTTGCCATAAGCTGTGCAAGCTGAGGATAAAAAGGAATTGAGATCCAAAACAGGCATCCATGAAAGAATAGCGTAAACATTTGACCCAATATAAGATAACTTCCCAAATTTGTTGCAAAAATCATAGTTTTAATTCCAGGCATGGACAATTCTGTTTACTCCCTACTGTCGGGATCCTTCCGTTTTAAATCTCAGACCAAAAATAATGAAAATTTCATTTTGAGAATATAATTCTATGAAATAAAATTTTAGAGCAATGGCAAGAAATTGTGTTTTTCTAAGTCCTGAGTCCTGTCTTGGATTAAATGGAACATTGAGAAATTGCTTAATATAATTGTTGTGACTGATATGATTACAATCCATATTAAGCAACACACACAACGTAGTTGCTTCTTTTGTCTGTGTTGTTGTCTGTTGAAAAGCTATACTATTATACATAAATGTTGATGTCCTCCTTGGCACGAGGTGGGTGTAGTTCTATAAGATATGACAACTGTACATGTATAATACATGAAGATAGCATCTTCCCATTACAATGCAGTTGTTCAGGATTAGAGAAAATGGGTCACATTGAACAGAAATAACCCTCAGTGATGGTGATAAATTACTGTTACTGCTGGTAGGAACAATATCGCCTCAGATTACTAGAGATCCATCTCCCAGCAAACAACTTTATTAATTTATTATATCCTAAAGCTATGAAAATATACACATGTTGTGCCTTTCTCTACCAAGTATGCTATACTTGCTTATTTTTCATTAGATGAAACATTAGAGTTTTGCTTCGGCATACAACAGTGAGTTCAGGTGGATCAGCCACCATATTGTTCCTTAACTTTGTACAAGTCTAGATATCCCATTAAGGTTAATTAAGGTTACGGTAATTGCAGCTATCTGAAAACAGCACAAAATAAATGACCCTAATTTGCTAATGCAGAGCAAGCCTTCTCATAGTAGGAGGCGCTCAAGAACATAGTGTGTGTGTCTCTGTGTGTGTGTACACAACACACACACAAACACATACCAACTTCCACTCATGCAAAAATCTCACCATATGGTTCTGAGTAGGTCATTATCGCTAAACCTAATCTAATTCATTGGGTTATGTCTCACTATTATCAAAGCTGCAAAATAGATTGCCTGGGGACAAACATTATAGTAAAACAGATTAATAAATAATCAGGCTGCCTGCTAGTTGTCTGTTCTTGCTTCTATTATATTTAACCTACAGCAGAGAATTATTCATACATCATACTGGAGGCAATCCAGGTTGGATGACTCCCTGGAGTCAATACATCTTCTAGGACCCTCTTCTAAGGTACATGAATGCTTCATTAATCCTCAACAGCAGGCATGCCAATCACTCAGACTATGGAAGCAACTAAAGTTAATCTTCCAGTTGGTACAAAAGCCACTGACCAGTACAGATACTGTTAAAGCCTGTAAGATTTGGATGCTGATGAAGTGTTTTAAGTTAATGAAGTCAAATGAATTTTAACCAGTGTGTGAGGACTGTAGTGGTGGTAAAGAACCTGAAATATTGTGACTGAGTAATATACAAATATACAAGCTTCCTTCCTTCCTTCCTTCCTTCCTTCCTTCCTTCCTTCCTTCCTTCCTTCCTTCCTTGCCTTGGTTACCACATTGCAGCAATAGAGCCATGCATTGGAGCATCCTCAAAAATGGAAAAGGCATCAGCAATATATTATCCCTATGTTTCCAATACTGAAAAGAGGGATGGAAGGCTTTTTATCCTTGGTGTGGTCAGGAATCCTCAGGTGAGAGGGGACAAGGGAAAGAAGTTTGAGTGGGCAGTCAGATAAAGGCTTTAGAAGTGCAGGGACCTCTCCATTCTGTTTATTAACCCAATTAGTCCTGTTCCCACCCCCACCCCCAACTTTTTGGGTACTGCAGACTAGTTCGATGGAGAGCACATTTTCTGAAGACCAGGTGGGGGTGTAGTTTCGTGGTTCTGTATGTGCAAAGGGGATTCCACTTGCTTGCATGGATCAGTCCCTGACAGGCCATGGATTGGTGCTGGTCCATGGACCAGGGGATTGAGAATTCCTGAACTAATCAATAGCAACATGATACCAATGGCATCAGGGAGAATTCCTTGCTCTGCTGACATTATCAAACTTCAGAAGCAATAATAATATATGATATTTCTCCACATTTCTTGCTTAAACTGGATTTAATATGAGAATAATATGCCTTAGGGATCCCTGAGAAAACTTTGAACACTTTCAGATTCTCTATGTATGATGCCCATATATATACCGAACAATTTTTTACTTATATACGTGTGGCTAATGCTTCCTCTTCATTCCAGAAAATTAAGAGTGATTGAATATAGAATATTATATTGACAAATAGATGTTCATGAGAAAATTTAATGGGAATTAAAGGTTTTGGGGAACTCTTATGAATAAGACAGTTTTTGGTATGTCACAAGATAATGGAATTATAGAATTAGCCATTCAAATTGTTCTGCTTGGTCATGCCTTAACTTAAATATAGAGCCAAGGTATAATTTTTACATGCAGTTCTAAATCATTCTTGAAGATTACAGTACAATAGTAAATGACCAATTAGCTATTTATCTTTGATTCTATATTTCTTTGTGGAGGGGTGAAATTACTACATCTTTACACTCTTACATCACTTGATTTCAAACTACTGTACAATATATATGTCAAGTTATATTCTGGGACAACTCCTAGTGAGTATAGAATGATAAACTGACTGTTCTCTTATATAAAAATGCTAACTTGTAAGCCTCATTAAATTTAGTGGTGCTGATACTCTGCTAAGTACATAGAGCCTATAGGGGAATTGAGATTTGCATTTCATTATTGTAACAAGTAGAGTTCAATTGAGATTCAATCATAATAGATTAGACTGAATAAAATGGTAGGGACTTAAATAGTCCATTCCCAATCTGATTCCAATTCATATAATGGATTTATTTTTACTAGATCCGGGATAAATTTCTGATATGTAGGCATGAGATTTTACACAACACACACAATTTGGTCAACATCTGCATACATTTTTGTTTAATTACTTTTCTGCATGTGCAGCATTCAGATATACAAAGATGTGAAGTTCAAGAATCATATTTTTCCATTCTCGCTAAAACTTTAAAACCTGAAAAACAAAATCTACACACTTGTAAGGGGAAACAAGACTTTTTTTTTAAAAAAAAAAGAGGTCTAAATGCCACAGGTTTTAAAGGAAGAGCAACAATACTTAAACAGTGACAATTACCCTCAAGAGTACTTCTGTTAAAAAATAGTTGTTTTTATTTGATAAGGACTAAGCAGCATTTTCTTAATCGTCTGCTTGTTCAAGCTGATGGAGAAAAGTCAAACGTTATTTTAAAAGCATAATAGCTTTTTATATGCTTTTGTCAATTGATAAAACACAGAGCCACTAGTAACATTCCTGTCAAATTACTGGATATTACTTTTCTTCAGTGATTTTAACATTTAGATTTTTTTTTAAAAAAAGATCTTACTTCCAAAAAGCATGATCTGAACATTTGCTTAATATATATAATCATTGAAGAATTAAACCATATATTTATATATTTAAAAACACAAAAAGAACAAACATGTACCTGCACTCAATAACTACACAAAAGTTTCCTTCTTGCCTCTTTTCTCATATACAAGTTAAGAGACAAATACGGATACAAATATGTCCATTCACACATGTATACATACACACACTGCATTAATTACCTCCAGCCTCAGTATCTTCTCTTTTCCTCCGCCCCCCCCCCAAAAAACGCATCCCAGTTTATGGATGGGTGGTTCTGACCTGGGAAATCTAGTGCACGTCTGTCTGAAAGGCAGAAGCTGCCCATTGACTGGATATACCAACATACTTGTGAGATTTTGGCTCTGCTAATTTGCACAGCAGTGAATCTGGCTGGAGCTTCCTTCAGCAAAGACATGGAAACGCTCTAGCTATCATTGATCATTAAGTAGACCACGTATGCCGTGCATCCACATTCTTCTTTCTGTCTATGTATGATAAGAGCATGTATTGGTGATAATTAATAAAACTTCTAGCCCAAACATTTTATATGAGATAGAGCCACAGGCAGACTGATATATCAGCTGTTCGTTGTCAGAAGACGACTTCCCTGTGCCAATTCTCAACCAGTACAGAAGCTCTTGGTTGGTGAGGGCTGTGGAATTCCCACTGAGCTTTTTCCGCGCTCGGCAATCCCTCCGCGGTCCTCAATCCCATCGCCGCTGTCCAAGGTGCTGATCCAGGTCGGACTTACCTGCCAGAGCTGCGATTCCGAGCAGGCTGAGCAGCGCCACGCGAGGCACCATGGCCGGCGGAGCAAGCAAGTTGGCACGCAAAGGCTTGAAGCTTCTTCGTATCAGCTCTCTTCTACGAGCAGATCCAGGCTATTTAAGGGAGGGAGGGGGGGATACGCGCCTGAGTCAAGCGGAGGAAGGAGGGGAGTGTTTTGCGTCAGAGGTGGACCCCAAAGGAACGGGGCGGAGAATTCCTGAGATGGCCTTAAAGACCCTCCCTTAGAATCCGCTAAGGAAGGACTCCCACCACCTCTCCATCTTTCCGTTTGCCGCAGAAAGCCTCCCCCCCTCCCCAATTCCCACTCCGGTAGGATGGACCTTATTTCTCAGAGAAGGTAAAGCCCCCCTCCCCAATCCTTTGGAATTAACAAGCACTGTTTCCAAGAAGGCCACCTATATCCTATCTCCACCCCATTTGGAAATACAAGTGTCCCCTTTCTATCCTCATCCAAGCCTCCCACGCTGCTTGGCCTGATATTTTCCTTTTGATCTCCACCCAAGCAGAGTCGTTGCGAAGCTCTTTCGGTAGCTTCTTCCTAAGCCTTCCTTTCTACTGTGACTAGGATTTCTAAACTATGGCTTCCATTCCCCCAAAAGGAGAGGTCTTCTTTCATACACGGATAGAGAGCGAGACGCCCACATGAATCTGCTTATAGAATACAAAATGTGAGGTACAAGGCAAACTGCACAGTCCCTAAAGACAATCGTCTGTGTCCATGCGAAGCCTTGAATGCTTAAGAAACTCTGGCTGTTCGATACAAGCTCATTAATGAAAAGCCCTCTTCCCCTTTCACTCACTGGTCCGCTCCCCCGCCCTCCCGCCCACACACCTTCTCGCTCTCTCGCTCTCTCTCCCTCCCTCCCTCCCTCCCTCTCTCTCTCCTTCATTCTCAGCAGAGATATTCAGTCCGCGCGCCCCCATTCGTGGCTTTTGTGCTTTTTGTCTCGCTTCATCCCAGAGGGATTCAAGGGATGAGAGAATGATCGCATCTTGAAAGGGTTCCGCCAGCAGAAATTTACGTCCTGTTTATTCAGGCGTTTGTTATGATGTGGAGGAAAATGGAAGGAACCCAATGAGAAGAGGGACGGCTGCCTGCTGACGTCCTGTTTTCTCCAAAACGCTCTGCGCGGTTGGATGTTCTCTCTTCCCCCTCATTCTCTCCAAGAGCGGGAGAACGAATTGATCTTTCCCCACAGCCATCATCCATATAGTATTCATTTCGACACATTCTTGAAGGGAGACGCTTGTGCAAAGAATTCTCCTCTTCCTGGTCTTGTCTCTCCTTATTTTTTTTCCTGCTATCTACTTTCCCCTCTGAGCTTTTCCCTGATTTGCAGTCTGTGTCACCTCATCTATAGATTTGTTCCTTGCTGTTAAGTCTTAGTTGGTTTGTTTCACCAATAATTGTTGAATAAGTCATAATTAGCTGGGTTCACAGAATCCCCTCAGCCAAACCCAAGTAAACCATATTAACATAATACATGTTCCTAATTAAGAGAAGTGTTGCAGCTTCCTCTCTTAACAGATCATATTTAATATGGGGTGAAATGAACTAGGCTGTGGGCTCTTTTAGAGCTAAAAGTTGAGTTACAGGAGCTGATTTCAAGCGGTCTCAATTAAGGCTTTTAAAGTGACAACTATTGTTAATATTCATGTTTATTAATGATAGTTTTTACTCTATTGTGATGAAGTGATTGATGTGTTGGAGTGAGACAGGAGACCCAAGTTTTAACCTACTCACTGAAACATACCTAATGACTTTGTGTCAGTCTCTCCCTCCCCCCCCCCACTCTGCATCCAACCTATTTCATTCGATTTTTGTTTTGAAGTAAATGGGGAAAGAGAATGACACAGAATCCTTCTTGAGCTCTCGAAAGAACAGTGGAATTTAACAAGTAAACAAAACTTATTTTTCTGCATGGACAGAGCAATTCTGTAATCACCTTAAAGCTATGACTAAGGATAAGACATGGCTATGGTAGAAGAAGGACCATTGCTTCCAGAACATGTTGAACATGGAAGGGGAAAAAACACACACGATAGCCGATGAGGAGGCAGCAACCTTGGAAAAACTGACAGTGACAACAAGTCCAGGACTGTGCCAGCAATCTCTCATGCAGCTCAGACAGCCGCACAGCCTTTGACCTCACAGTGATGCAGACACTCTACCAGCCCACAGCCTGTACTGGTATCCATACAACTTGCACAGTGCCCATGTTCAAGGACTTCAGAGGCTCAGGGACTCTTGCCAGAAATAACTTTGCTACTGCAGCCCCTAAATTTGCAACCATCTCAGGGCTCACGGACACGATTCAGAAGCACAACACACAAAAGGGGCAAAAAGAGAAGACCCACGACCAACCACCTGTTTACAGAATGTCAATACAGGTAGCCCTTGGTCAACTAAGGCAATTGGGTCCATGGTTTATGTCATTGGGCATAGTCATAAAGTGTGATGATACACAATTGTGTCTTTTAGCAATGGCAGTTTCCCAGTTCCGGTTTCCCATCATTAAGCAAATCCTGCACTGTGGTTAAGCACAACATTATATGGTCGCCATCTGTCAGCTTCCCTATTGGATAGAGGGGTGGCTGACTGAAAACAGTAAGAGAAAGTGAGTATTTTCATTTTTGCTTCTGGGTTTAGCAATTGACAAATTGCTCGGTGAAACAGGTTTATAATTCTTCCTTCATTAGCGTGAGTGAAGTAGTTGTGAGAATATCTCTGTTGTGTACTAATTATTTTTAGGCAGTATCCTTTAGTATGTTAATTTATCTGCACAGATGAAACACAGCTAAGTAATATGTAACTATCATTAAAATATTCATTTTTCTAAACAGGGTAATAGTTGGAGTTAATTGAAATCCTTCAGTTAATTAGATTCCAGCGGGATTAATGATTCATCCCAATCTTTTTGCAGGCCTTTCTTCAAGTCAGTATTACTTATGTCATATTTTCATGCTTTTCTCTTTAATAAAAAACCTCATTTAAAAGAATAACAGCATTGGAAGGGACCAATGGGAGTCTTCTAGTCCAACTTCCTGTTCAAGCAGGAGACCCTATATCAGTGTTGGCAAACCTTTTTGGCACTAAGTGCCAAAATGGGAGCGCATGCACGCATGGGGGAATGCGGGAAACCAAAAGAGCGTCTCCCTGGGGCACATGCACAGAAGCACCAGAAAACAGAAGAGCATATCCCTGGCGCTCACGTGCGGAAGTGCGGGAAACCAGAAGAGCAGTTCCCTGGTGCGCGTGTGTGTGCCGGGAAGCCGAGCTTCTGGTTTCTGGCATGCATGCATGCGCAAAGACCAGCTGGCTGGTCCACATGTGTGCACTGGAAAACCAGAAGAGCAATGGGAGATGGCTGGCATTCCCGGAGAGATGGCTCTGCATGCCACTTCCACCACACGTGCCCTAGGTTCACCATCACAGCCCTATACGATTCCAGAAAAGTGACTGTCCAGTCTTCTTAAAAGCCAAGACGTTTAATCCCTAAAATTGGTTGGGAGTGATACAGTAAGCCTCAACAGTCTGTGGTCACTTTTATATCTCTCTCCAGGACCATATTCACTTCTGCCAGCTCAGAAATACTGACAAGGATGGACCCTCACAATTGTATTCCAAACTGCTATGTGACCTTCTACAACAACAGCCACGTTTTTTCCACACACAGCCCATTTCACACACAGGTTAAAGGGGAGGAAATGTAATTAAAATCATCAACAACAATGAAGCAGTCTGGTGATTGATCTCAACAGTTTGCTCTACTGTGATGGAGCTTTGAAACTAGCATCCTTCTTCCAGGACTTTATAAAACAGCCAGCTCAAGAGTCAGGAGAAGGGAATCAGATGAGAATCCCTTCAGTAGGAACACAAAGCTCCAGACTTTCCGGTTTATATCCATTTCAGGGACTTTTCTCCTCCGTTACATCTAAGCCAGAGGTCCTAAAGACCTAAAAAAAGTCAATCATGTGGAATCGTGAGAATGGCTGTCAGGAAGGGAGAAATGTGACTTCCGTAACGGGGATGGATATAAGCATAATGTTNTGCGCCAAGTGAAACAAACTTGAAGCTCCACTCTGGATGGTTGTGACTCCTCGTTCCGGGAAGGTGAATGTGGGTTGGGCCAGGACCCAGCTGGGCTGGCCGCTTGGGGGATGCTGGGCGATGCTGCCCATGCTGAGTTGGTCAAACCGTTCCAGAAGACCCCCTAGTGTCTGGCTCTGCAACGGCGGCGGAAAAACCCATTCCCTAGAATCGCTGGGCTCAGGAGATCTCGTCAGTTTCCACTCAAAGACCTGTGCACACTTTGCTCTGCTTGTTGCAATCCGGGGCTCCTGAAGCGTCACCCTGACTGCCAACTCCTGAGACAGTGCGGCTCCCACAGCTTCACCCCATTGGGAAGGAGCCAGCTGAGTGATCTGCCAGGGTGCCGGCTCTTTGGGCTGGGCATCTCGCTGATGCTCAGTCTCCATGGCCTCTGCTGCTGCCACCACACTCTCTGAAGGGGAGTAGATCAGTGGTGGGTTCTGGCCGGTACGGCCCAGTATGGCCCGGTATGGGCGTACCAGTGGCCACTGGGAGCAGCAGCCACCATACTGGAACAGTGTTTTGGTGGACCCACCCGCCCGCGTTCCTTACCTTTCTTTGAGGGAAACAGGGCACTTCCACACCGCGCACAGAGCGTACGGTGCCTGTGCGACCTTGCTGAGCAGCTGGGGTATCACAGGGCGGTGGTGTGCACATGCATGCGCAGCGCGCATGCCCAAGGTCGACATCCAGCCCCGTCTCAGAGTACCGGTTGCAACGGGATCCAGAACCCACCACTGGAGTAGATGGTCTCGAGGATGACCTCTGAGCTAGTCCCTGTAGCTCCTTCCGTGGTTGCCATCTTCACCTCCATCTTCCCTGAGTTGTTACTCTGCCCAGCAATCAGGCTGATGCCCGGGGCTCAGGACCCTGGACAGCATCCCAAGGAGCGGGGAGCTGGGTAGATCTTTTAAAAGCAGATTCAGGTTAATGTCAGGGTTCCAAGTAACATCCCCAGCAGAAGTAAAACTCCAAGGCAAGCATTCTCCTGAAAGTTCAATTTTATTAGAGATGTCATATTGGCACATCTGGGAAAACCTAAATCTGAAAGGCTTCCTGGTTTTCCCCACCCA